AAAAAAAAAAAAAAAAAAAGATGGGGTGTTGCCTGACCTTTGGTCACTGGGATGAAATGCTAGACTTTGTGATGCTTGAACACACTTACGGGATGCAAATGCTCACATCCTCATGGTTATAAATGGTAGGCAAGGCACAGGCTGTTAGCTGAGCAGATGGTTGGATTCTTGACCTGCCATATGGGCCTGCACCCATGTTTGTTCATTGTTACCTCCATTGTGTACACAGGTGTGGTTATTAACTGGGGCGAGGACACTAACGGATGGATTGGTACAGCATCAATTGCTCATTCTGCCCCGCTATGGCTCCCTTGCAGTAGAAGGGGTCTATCCAGGAGAGAGAATTGAGGCAATGTTTCAGACTCAGGGCTTTGGCGGGGGCACAGGTAGGCTGAGACCTACATTAATGGCAACAGGACAGTGACTGAGGATTCTGCCGGCCAGGCTTTCAAAGGCCACTAGGCTCCCAGGCATGCCATCAACTCATCGTACACGCTGACCAAAGGATCTCTTGTGACTCTAGGTTGTCCCTGCTCCTTCCATATATTCATTTTAACCTGATTTTACCTGCATAAACCCATTGAATATGGGTCGGGCGGGGGGCAGAGAGAGGAGGGAAACAAGCGCACAGCAAGGCCCTGGCCCAGATGTCCTGGCACAGCCAGAGACATGCAGGGAGAGAAAGGAGGAGGGGCAGTGCTGGCAGAGGGCTTACCTCCGTTCCCGGGCTGTAGCAATGGTAGTAGCCCCCAACAGCTTCCACAAGGTTCTTCAGGACAGCCTGCGGGCATGGAGACAGGGCAGTCCTCCCAGGGCAACGCCGATGCTCTAACAAGCTTTCCCCTTGACCGAACCTCCCAACTCCCATTTTACCAAAAGAAGAACTAGGCCCCGGGGGAGGTATGTTCTGGTCCACAGCCTGGGGGCCTGTCCAGGGAGCAGGGAGCCTCACAGGCCAGCCCAGCTCACTGCTGCCAAATCCAAGGGAAATGTTGGAGAATCTCAGGTACGTACAGGGGGCACCTGATCACCACATTTGTAGGTGATGATGTGGGTGATGAGGTCCCTTCCCATGCTGGACTGCTGGATGTAGTCAGATAGGATTTCACAAGGCTGATCTGGGCTGCGGAGGAGACAGAAGAAGAGAAGTGGGCACCCCAGGTCAAACCACTTTGAGAACATTCCAGAGCAAAATGGTAGCTCCCAGGAACATCTATCCATTCTTAACTGACCACCTGTGACCCCGGTCACCTGTGTGGGATGCAGGGCTGGGGGGACACAGGCCCTGGCTGCCCTGCCCCACTTGTGGGTGGGTGGCCTGTGAATGACATCCTTCTCTTAAGCATGTGTGAAGAGTCATGCTCCAAGATCTTTTCTGGAAAAGTGGTTGGGTTCTTCAACCCCCTGCGTGTAATCTGTTACCCACTTAGGAAAGTAGACCTACCAGCGTCCCATTATGGCCACCAGGGAATTCAGCCCCTCTACGGTGAAGATTTTCTTCAGGGCTTGCAGCAAATTGCTGCCTCTGTCAGGTTGCAATGTCTTTACCCAGAGCTTGAGTTCCTGGAGGCTGGGAGGAGATGACAATGGTGACCTAATTATATACTCTTATTAGGTGCCAGGCCCAGGGCAAATATTAGCTCATTTAAGCCTAACAATAACTCATTGAGGTGGTTGGTACCTTTATTCCCGTTTTGTAGATAAGAAAACTGAGGCTTAGAGTTAAGCAACTGCTATATGAAGGTCTGGGGCTGAGTTCCCTCTTCCCCACCACACCCAACTCAGCATGAGGCCTGGAGTTCATCCCCCAACCCCAGGAGGGCTCCAAGAGAGGGCACCACGGCTGTGTGGCCACATCCCACACGGGCTGGTAAGATACACCACTGGTAAGAGGAAAAATGACTTAACTTGGTACTTTCTTGCTTAAATAGCTTGCATGGCACTAGTGAAAGAGTTCTGCTCTTTCTACCTCAAAAAATCAAAATTCTTGAAAAGAAAATCTCAGGTTGGTGCTATTTAATAATAAGTCTGTCTTCCATTATTATAACTGTCGAATCTCCCTTTTGAACAGAGAGAACAAGTCCCAGGCCTCGCGCCTTCTCCAGCC